TTTGCGAACAGAGATACGCCGATTTAGAAGCTACGATTGGACCAAATGTTTACATTTGAGATTCCCTCAGGTAGGTTTCTCAAAAAAAGATTAGATTACTGCATCCTCCTCAATTTGAGTTGCTGGTGGGAATTTTCGTGACACATTAAGAACGTGCATCTGCTTCTTTCGTAAGTTTGGCTGCAGATAACCATAATACTTCTTTCTGATTCTTTCATCGGGTTCTCTGTGCTGGGCTAGACGGCAGAAGCATGACCTCTTTGAGCAACATGATACATATCAGCAATTTTAAAGAAAAAGTTATCAGTCACAGTATTTTGCTTCTGAAAGGGACTCACACAAAAAAGGAAGAAGTGGACGGTTTGGCTTCACCATCACTCCGGACCATAAGTTTAGAAGAAGTTACCAGCCGTCTGCGAATTGCTTCTCTAGAGGACACGTGAACGTTTCTTCAGCTTCCCTCGCAAAGTAGTGGGCTCCTTAAGAGCTCTCCGACGACCTGCGCATGTTTTACTGTCCGGCTCCCGTCTGCGCTGTCTTTTGAAAATAGCATCATTTGCCGTGTGTTAGCGTAGCATAGCTTCATCACTTGTGATAGTGATGCATTTCACCCTATGAGTTTGACTGTCAACCTGTACCCGAAATTGTAGGGTCTGGTATCTTCTCCCCGTGGCGCGTCGCGCTCGCCGCACTCGATCGCGCTTTATGGGGGGGAAAGATTTTAATTCCAAGTGGAACGATAGGGCAGTCGCCGCGGAACACTGCCGCTGGCCGTGGCAATTCGGGAAAAGGTTCCGTCGCCCGAAATTGTATACCGTTTGATAAAGAGTAGGTCGCTTTTTTGTCTAAACCCTTCGTAGCACACAGTGAAGCAGTAAGTCAAATCGTATAGGCTTTCAGATTTGAAAGTAGTAGTGGTCTAGCGACAACATTCGCTTCATTTCTAACCCTGGATTTTCTCGGCACTCATGTTCTAGCCTATCCATACACATCTAGGAGAAATCGTTACACTACCCCTGTATAACTAGTTGGGTTCAACAAGTGTGATTCAGAGAACAACTGGAGGAAGAGCGAAATGCCAAGCTGGCACTAGAGCGAGATCTTCTCGCACAAGTGAATCATCTCCAAACACAATTAGGAATCGCAGCTAGTAAAGTGAGTGTCGTAGTCTTTTTAAACTTCATTCTTGAATTTTTCCTTATAATTTTCCCACACATAATTGTTGCTTTTCTTTAGCTATCTACCGCTGATGCTGTAGTTTTGTCTAATGAAACTCATGAGAGGCAAATAAGAGACCTTCAGAATACCGTAGCTGAACTGGAAGCACAAGTAAAACAGGTTGGCCTCCGGATTTTCTTACAAAGAAATTTTCAACTTCAAAAATGTCATCATCAATTCGTCACCATAGCAATTAATCTTGTAAATACGTATTTTCTTATGTTCAATATAGTGCCAGCCTTGCTCGTCTCTCGCATGTGAATACTTCTACCCGAACAGTATGCTGCACGCCGTGGAGGGGAACTGGATTTCCAATAGAAAATTACGGTAATTGCCGCAATGCCGCCGCCGCTTGTTGTGGAAATTCAGATACACCTACCTCCACCACACGCCCCCATATTAAGCTTTAAGGCTGTATAGGGTAAGACTACGATGCGTTTATAGAGTGCGAGGTGCATGTTACAACTCAGTGCAGCTTGATTGACCATACAGAAAGCCCAGGTGCTTTTGTGTGCAAATGAAAGCTGCATTAATGATTTCGAGATTAATCTTCACGATATCTTGGCGACTGTGGAACATTGGTGGTGGATTGTCAAAATCGTATCCGTGGCTCGGTGTGAAATGGAACGCAAAACGTTGAAGGGTTTCATAGCTTAGCAGAAGTTCCCTAAAATAAGAAGAATCGAGGAATTAACGATAAGGATAGGTGACAGCATAAAAGTAGTTCTATGGAGTCATAGAGATCGTTTTCGCTCAAACCCCTTAATAGTCTTACAACCGAAGAGAGGCACTTAGTATGGGTGAAATATTAGCAACTTGGGTAAAGTTTGTTGTGGAGTGTGACGGATAATATGTACATCGACAAACCATCGATGGATATCAACGGTTCTAATCGCGTGCGCAGTAATTTGTGATGCCCAAGCTAATAGCGGTATATTCGTCATTTGTCTGACTATTCAAAAGTTCCAGGTCCAAAGCGAGCGTGCTGCTGTGGAACTGACAGCTCAAAACTATAAGGCTCGATGTACCTCCTTGCAAAGTGAACTAGACACCTCGGAGGCCGTTCAAAAAGACTTCGTCCAGCTCTCGCAAAGTTTACAAATTCAATTAGAAAAGATTAGGCAATCAGAGCAGGTGAACTTTAGAATATCCAGTAGGTGGTTTTTAAATAATCTTTCCTCTGAATTTTTTCATATTTCTCTCATCTGTTATTAAGGAGGTTCGGTGGCAGTGGGAGGATGACGTGGAAAATTGTTCGGGTTGCGGTGCATCAGTCTTAAAAACAAAGCCTCGGCCAAGGTTATTACTATTACCGCTTTTATTTATCCATTGATGTAGTTGTTCGACGTTGATATTTTCATTTAAAGCAATTTTATTGCTCTTGTCTAAGCAAAATCACATACTAAGTCACCTGTACCATCATGAAATCACA